TACTGCTTTGATATAGAATTGCTTTGTGCCTTTACGTGTTTTCATGCTTTCAGCCATTATTTACAATTATTACTCACTGGGTCGGAGTACCCACATTACTCCCTGCACCGTGTGTGCAGATTCAGGCATCGCAGAGTCCAATCCCGAGTGCTGATCTTCCCGTCCAGGCAGTGTTTCGGAGATCACGAGGTAGTTGTTGGCGTCCGCAGCCCCCGTGCCTCCCTTATCTTATCATTTTCATGTTGTTAGAACTATTGTATCGGGTTTAGTGATTAGTAGACTGTATCAGGACTTCTCTTAGTTGCTCATGGCTTGTGACACCCCGATTTGGGCTGTGTCGGGATGGCTTTTACTGTTGTTATCATTAATTCCGCAAATTATGGATATTATATCATGCTTTAGAGCTGTTTATGATATTTAACTGTTTAAAAGAGGTGTTCTGTTTTGGTCTGGCTGGCCTTGTCTTCACGAGAGGTGCCATCACGACCGGGTTCGGGAATTGGGTCGTGTCACACAACTCAAAATCAAAGAGCCAATCACCAATACCTAGCAACTCCTATCACCAATAGGAGAAGCGAAAAAACAGACTCTATGAACGCAACATGCAGAGACAGCCACATCTCTAACTTGAGCTAAACCCTCTTCAATATAGCCAACCTTCTACTTTTCATTTGACAAATTTTGCAATTAGGGACATAATTAGTTAGCAACCAAAAAAATTTGGTTTGCAACCAAGAATATCTTGAGATACCGATTTCAGATATTACTAGCATGAACGCTACACCAGTATTACTAACAAAGCAGTCATGATGGAAATATCTATGTTTACACACCTGCAAACCAGTTTTCTCAATCAAAGCACAAAAGTTGCACCACAATGAGTCCATGACTATTTAGACTTAACAGAGTTCAAGAAAAAAACAAATATGATTACATTGCAGGGAAAAAAGGACCCAATTCTTTTATTAACACCTGTCCCCCAACTGATCCCCTCCAAATTTTTCTCCTTCTTTTCATATTTCAACAATGACAAACTGCTAGGGCATATATTGAACTGAGGTTAAAAAATATTTCAACTCAAAAGGAAGCAAACTAAGAATGCATAAAGGAACACAGTGTTTTTTTTTTTATAGCAGAGAAATCTTCTAGGGCCAAGGAGCACATAGTTTCATACCTTTACTCGAAGTTCCTTCATTGGGTCAGGCGTCAATAACGCTCGAATTGAGGTGACAATAGGTCCCTACACCAAAAACAGGATAGGAAAAGAAGAAAAACTTTAACATCAGACATTCACAATTACCAAGGGATCTTACCACNATTACCAAGGAATCTTACCGTAACAAAAAGAAATAATAGAAGCCTACCTGCATGCCACAAACTACTATTTGATCTCCTTCATGTAGCACACCATTGACCAATACCACATCAATGGTTGTTCCCTGGCCTTCAACAACCTTAACCTCCAAAACAGTACACTGCAGTAGAGTAACAATAGTCAATCATAAAATATTCACCATCTCCATGTAAGTAAACTGACAACGGTATGTGAAAAACATACTTGGACTTCATTGCTGTAAGTTAGTCTCCCAACCATTGTCTTTTGTGTCCATTGCACCAGTAATAACAATAAGTCAGGAATACCTTCACCACTGTAACATCAAATCCATAGCCGAATAATTAGCTAAAATCAAAAGTCTTATAGGAGTGCTGCAGAAAAACATAACCCAGCAAAAGAAAAAATGGGATAAAGTGTATACACGCACACACCTGATTGCACTAGTAGGTACAATGCTAAAAGTATCCTTTCCCATTTCTTTGTTCTTATAGTATAATTCGGTATTTATACCTTGTTCCTTGAACTGGGTAATGACCTGCAACAATTGAATAAAAGCTTGTTGAGATGAGGTTGCACAAAGAGAGGAAACGTTGAATTGAGATGACAGCGGTTAAAAATGACCTGAGTAAGCCTCGTATTAAATTCAAAGTGAACATCTTTGGACTGTTGCTTCATTGCCTTCACAATAGGTGCATTGCGGCACATTTTCCATCCATAAAGCCGATCTACCTGTATCGTGTAAAATCGAAAAAAGAAACAAAATAAGAACTACAAAGAAAAGAACAAAATCAAAATTCAAATAAACCATCAACTATCAGAATACTCTAATAAACCTCACCTTGTTCAAAGAAACAATAAATTCTGTATTCCTCATCTTTAGAAGATTAAGTGACTCGATTGTCTGCGGTTCTAACCCATGCATAATGTCTACGACCAAAATTGCAATATCACATAAACCTGAACCTCTAGACCGCAGATTAGTGAATGATTCATGTCCAGGTGTGTCAATGACCAACAATCCAGGGACCCTCAGTGTAGCATCAGCTCTAAGTTCCTTAGTTCTCTCGCGTATATTCTCAGCTGGAAAATAAGTCTATCTGCTGCATAATCCCTCCAGCTTCACCTTCTTGAACATTAGTGCCTCGTATGCAGTCAAGGAGCTTTGTTTTACCAGTATCAACATGGCCCATGATACAGGAAATAGGAGACCGGAGATTGTATTCACTCTGGCTAGAAGAAGCACCACATTTTTCTGTTCCTGCCACTGCAATCCCAACCTCAGGCTCCCTCGTCTTACTTCCATCATTCTTAGTGACAGCTGGTACACTTGCTGCAACTTTTTGAGTAGGAATCATGGGCTTGGCAGCAACAGGCAGAGGCCCTGCATCACTAGCAGCTGGCCTTGCAGCCTTAATCTCTTTCTTAATGATAGGTTGCGGATGTGAATCTATCTCTTCATCTTCAAAAGCACTCTTGCCAGGCAATTTAAGATCGGCATCATCCCAACTTTTCGCATCCCATTCTTCATCATCTTCCTCTTCTTCAACTCCATTCTCTTCAGTAGCAGCTATTTTTGACTTCTTCTCTATACTTTCTGAATTCATATCCTTAACCTTCTCAGATTCCATGGACTCAACCTCAGAGACAATGTCTTGCTGATGTTCTTGCACTTCTGTTCTTTCAACAGACTCTTCCTGGTTTTTTCCATTAGCCTGAGCTTGTGGCTTTGACTTCTTTTTTTGATAAATAGGCCGTTTGGTTGCCTCTTTTGTACTCTCACTTGTTGAGAGTGGTAAATCCCCGTCATTAGCGAGAAATTGCTTTCTCATTGCTTCTAACCTTCGAGCTTCTTCCTTTTGCTTTCCTGTAAGCAATTTCCCCTCTTGTTTCTTCTTCAAGAGCTTTTCCTTCTCCCTCTCCTTTTTCAAGCGTTTTTTCTCCTCTTCAAGTCTTTCAACTTCTTCCTGTCGATGTCGTTCTTCTTCTTCTTTCCTTAACCTTTCCTCTTCTTCCTTCTTCTTCCTTTCTTCAGCTTCCTTCATTTTCTTAAGTCTCTCTTGCATCTCCCTAACCTGTTTCGACTGTTTTTTATCTGCCAATTTTCCTTTAGTGTCATTATTTGTTTCTTCCTGCTTTTCCTCCATGATAGAGGCAGCTGCAGCTGCCTTTTTCTCTTTTTCCTTCTCCTTCTTCTTTTTCTTCTTCTTTGTCGCAGCAGACTCCAGAGTTCCTTCCTCAACTGCTTCCTTCTCTTGTGAATCATCTCCTAGTTGAGACTGCAATTGACTTTTCTCTTTTTGTGCAAGAGAAGCATGAGCAGGTGTAGATGTAGGTTGCCCTTCACCTATCTCTGCCAGAATCTTGTCGATCTCATCCTCATCTGGTTGAGCAGTACACCCACCCTTCGTTTTCTTGGCTTTGTTCTTTGAAGTTTCGGACACAACTGTTGCCTGCTTTTTGCCTCTATTGTCATCAGCTTCTTCCCTATTAACCCCTACGCTAGCTTGGTCTTGATCAGCAACATTCGACAAGTCATTTCCTATATCAACATCCGTTGTACTAAATGCATTTTTATTCTTCTTCTTAGATGACTTCTTTTTACCTGAAAATATAACTTCTGCTGCATCATCTCATTCAATTGCCTTTGCCTCCAACTTAACAGATGTATCTGCATCACTTTCTTCGTCAAGAAGATTAGCTCTAAAAGAAATGCCATTACCCTTCCCGGTAAAGGCAACTGCTGGATCTTCATTATCCTCAGATAGCTGGCCATCTTCGTTATCCTCATCATCTATAGTGTGAAACACAGATGTAGTAAACAATCTTGCACTGCTCTTCCCCGGCTTCGACGAGGCAACACTTTCAGCCTCTTGGTCACTATCACCACCCACTCTGTAACTAGACAAGCTAGCTCCCCTTTTCTTCCCCTTTTTACTTTTCCTCTTGCCAAATGCCAATGTTGGTGCTACTTGCTCTTCCTGAATCGTAGGCTCGTCAGAAATTTCAGTCGTCATAGAGTATTCATTATCATCAATCACCATATGCTTCTTCTTTAACTTCCCTCCACCACCACCACCCTGCTTGGAAGATACAATGCTCTCTTCCTCGCGGACTGTAGGCTTCTTTCCCCCCATTGAATTTTACTTGTGGTTTCGACTGATGTACTAGTCCGAGAACAACTGCAAGCATGATCAAACCTCCAAATCCCTAATTCCAAATTGAAAAAAAAAAACATTATAATCATATTCACCATATTAAACTGTACATCAGAAGACCAGCCAACTATAGCAAATTAAACAATCTACCCCCCATTGTAGCAGACTCATCTATCAAATTGATCAATCAGTCAATTAATCAACTAGTTCCTTTGAAAATCAAATAATTTGTCCTTTAACATCCATTAATAAAAGCAGCAAATTAGAAAATCTGCTCTAAAATATTAACTGAGCAATCGATCAACCAATCTACTAAACCTCAATCTCGAACTAGTTGGAGTATGCTATATGAATCATTTATTCTATTTCCAACAATACTCTGGCCAACCTAGATAATTTGTCTTTTAACATCTAGTAAAAGAAAAAGTAGCAATTTACAAAATCTACATAGCCAAATCAAGTTAGGTTAAAATTTGAAAAAACAAAACTAAGACATTGGAATCACTTGTATTTGAAGTCCAACACCATCAACAATTCAACACTTCTCAAAAACACATGCTACGTTATCGTTATAATTATAAAGGAAGAATCAACACCTCAATCTCGAATTAGTCGGGGGTCGGCTATTATGAATAATTTATATAAGTTTTCAACAATACTCGAGTCATGAGGTCTTACGTTCAAAGTCCACCAAAGACAAAAAATACTAGGTAATTTCTTCCCATGTGCCTAAGCTTTGGTGGCAAAAGTTACCTTGTGCTGGTGGGAGGCAGCAACTACCCGGTGGAATAGAAGGTGCGTGCAAGCTAGCCCTGACATTGCGTCATTAAAATAAATATTGGCCAATTTCGTTCCAAAACTAGATAATGTGTCTTTTAACATGTAGTATACTCCGCAACATTAACGTACCCCCAACTCCAGTTCAATTCAAATTTGCAAAAACTAAAAAATAAGACATGGGAATAACTTGTAACTGAAATCTAACACCATCACAATTCAACACATCTCAAAAACACATGCTTAAACATAAAAAGAATATAATTATACACACATTAAGAACGTTTTCAATATATAAAAAAATCGAATTATGATCATCAGAGGCAAGTTGATATACCTGGACAGATGAGTGATAAAGACTGATACGTATGTGTTTTGAGTTATTTTTGTATATGTAAGTATTAAATATCAATATATGCATGTGGGTGTAGCAGTAAGTATATGAGAAGAAAATATACACTCAGGGTTTAGTTCCTTGTTGAATTAGGAAGAGGAGAAAAGAAGACCAAAATAGAACCAAAATTGGACAAAAAATTGGGCCGCTGCTTAGGGTTGGGTTTCCTTTTCTTTCTTTTTTTTTCCTTCTTAAACCAGTAAATTCGGGAAAAATTTAAAAATAGCCAGATTTATAAGTGGTCATTCAAAAATAGTTGCACATTCAAAAGTAATCGAAATAGAGACTGGAGCATGTGTAAGAACTCCGTGCATATTATGCTGGACCAGTATGTTATGCTGGAACTCCAATATACTACTGGAAGTTCACGTGTAAAAAATTTAAACTCCAGTATATTATGCTGGAATATTTTCCGGGTTTTGAACAGTTTTTTCGTTCAGATTTATCTTTATATAAAAAGTGGCTAAATTTCGATTACTTTTAAAATTGTGGCTATTTTTTAATTACCACTTGTAAATGTGGCTATTTTTGAATTTCATCTTATGGTTGGTTTTTCACTTAAAACTGAAATTCTCGTAGAGCATCGTCCCTCATCATTATCTTCTTATTGCATCGCAAATCACCAAACTGGAAAAAACTTTTCGGATTCCCTACGATATCTTCTCAAATTATCGTTTCTTTTTAGATTAACAAGTTAACGTGGAGAGGTGTAAGGTACGTAAATTTGTTTTAATTTATAACTTAGAGATTTTTACTATTGCATATGAGTATTGATGTTTCTTTAAAAAAGAAAAATTAAGTTCGTTGTTCTAATTCTGTATAATCTGATTCAACTAGACTTTAACTGCCACTTAGCTCCAAGTGGAAGCAGCAACTTGTAACTTTTGTTCATAATCTCATGAACCATTTGGGGTAGATACAATTTCTATTGAAAATTTCAATAATTAATATCTTTGACTTTAAAAGTCCAACTATAACACGTAGAAGTTCATTTGCAGCTAATTCCTTAATTTATTTTTCTCTTTTTGGTGACTAATAATAAATCTGTTTGCCTAACTGGCATTTTTGTTGCCGACCAATATTTAATTGTCAATACAATATTCATGTTCCTCAAAGCTTTATTAAAGGCTCTAATTATTCTTTGGCCTTGATTTGCCGACTTTGTAATTTGTTTAATTATTACTGTTTAGATGATAATCTAAAATATATCAATGAAGATGCTATATTGCTAATTTATGATTTAGGTATCGAAAGATGATGTTTTATTAGGTACTTTGACTATAATTTTATCTGATGAGATTCTCTCAATTCCAAGAAATTAATTAGGAAAAAGTGTCCATATTAAGATAACTTAATAATCATTGGATTGTTTAGTGATTATACTTTTAAATGAAATCAAGATTTTATATGTGTTTTATAGTCTCTTTGGCCAAACTTCTAAAATCAGCTTATTTTTAAAAAATTATTTTTCTCAAAAATGATTTTCAAAAACGTATTTTTGGTGAGAATCAATTTATATTTGGCTAATTAATTTAAAAAGCATAATTGAACAGCAATTAGTGTTTGGACAAACTTTTAAGAAGTGTTTTTGAGTATATATTTCTCATAAGTGCTTTTCAAAAAAAATAATTTTAAGAAGAAGCTATTTTTTTGCTTCTACTTTTACTTAAAAGTAATTCTTTTTCTTTCGAAAAGTTTGGCCAAACACCTTAACTTTGGGGAAAAAAATACTTTTGGCAAAAAAAAAAAAACATATTTGGCAGCAAAAATAAAATAATATTTAGCCAAACAAGCTATTATCCATGTAAAGCTAATACTCGTATAAGCAAACACATGTCGGATTCTGTCACTGCTAGAAATTCGATCAAAACCGACCAATATTGGTCGGTAATTGACACAAATCGACCAAAACGGCGATCGATTTGTAACGGCCGGAAATCATTAGGTCAGTAGAGTCAACCGACCAATTTTGATCGGACAATTAAATTTTACACCTGACCCAAAAGATAAAGGACGATCGAAAAAATCGACCGACTTTGATTGATTAAAATCGACCTATTTCGGTCAGTCTTTTTTAAATTATGCAATTAAAAATGCATCATCTGGGAATCACTTAGGGTTGTATACTGTGACAAGATATTATTCTACCACTAGACTATTGGTACCTTTTGGTTTAAGACTTCATTTTATTTTATTTATACTCTTTAACCGCATTTTTGTGCGAAAATAACTGATTAATTTCAGTCGGTTTTGTTTAAAAAAAAAAATTACCGATCGACATTGGTCGATTTTTAAAATGACCGATCGATTTCCATCGGTTTTTTTAATATTAATTTTAATTTATTATAAATGAAAAACCGGCCGAAGTTGATTGGTTTCTTGAAAAATAAACTCTCAGGACGCAAAAACAATTTTTCGCATTTTGGCGCCAAAGAAAAATGACTGAATTAGGTCGATAATTCGACCGGCCGAAATTAATCGATTGGTTGTGGACGATTTTGACCGAATTTATAGTAGTATATAAAATAATACAAAATTGCACTAAAACAATTATATGGATTTTGCTTATATCGAATATGGCATGCCACTCAAATGCGAAGAACACGAAATTTTATACCTAAATTATGTTTCTAATCACAATAACCAATGATGCTTATTGCTTGAACTTATTCAAGTATGAATATTGTGATATTCGTAGTGAGGTATTAAATTTATACTTGTACTAATTAAAATTGAGCAATCTTGCCATTTGGTGAACTTTTGGTTTAATATTACACTTCTCTGTCAGAAAAATGTCTCACTTTTGCCATTGATCCCCGACGAGCTCCAACTAAGTGTAATTTCAAACCACAACCAAAAGTAACGCAATAAATTTGGACCTACTTTCTATAAAAATTTGGGATTTTTTCTTTTCAATATAATATTTAAACTTATTTATCAAAATTGTCCTAATTTGATATATTACCCGCTCTAAACAAGGATTACTTACAAATTATATACATTCCACCTTAAAAGGTTCTCAATCCATTATTAGTGTCTTAAATTAAGGGATTATTTGCTTGGAAAAAGGCATAACTGAATAAACAATGGTGTTAACCACCTTTTTTTTTTGTAATTAACTTTCATTTGTATTAATCACCAAAAATGAAGTTGTATAATTCCATAGTCAAGCTAACTCAACTGACTATCTCAAAAAGGAGCAAAACTATCACATGCCTAATATCATATATCCCTACTGATCTACTCCTCCCCTGTAAGAAATTGTTATATATAACTCTTAGCTCGAGCAGCTACTCTAATATTGCAAATATATGTTATCTCTCTTGCCAAAACATCACTGCCTCGATATCTTTGCTCAAATGTACGTGTGTTCCTTTCAATTCATATTGCATATGAGGTTTCAACATAGATTATTCTGAATATGCTAGCCTTGTTGGACTTCCATTTTCTTTGCTTGATGATCCACTAAAGATGTTGATCCCAGCATGAGATTATCATTTGGCCTCTCTGAATCCATTTCATAACTTTCTTCCACAGTTCTGTTGCATATGAACATTGCACAAAAGGTGTTCCCTTGTTTCAACTTGACCTTGGTATATTACACAGTAAGGAATGACACTTAATCCCAGTTGGCTAGCCTGTCCTTAGTAGGTAGTCTTCCATGCAGTAGCAGCCACGTAGTGGAGACTGCCTTTGGTCTAGCAGAATTCTGAAAGACTAGACATTTCCAGCCCACTCTTGGCAATTCTCCTAGCAGCTGAAGAATAACCACCTTTCCCTTCTCTGATCATGGATGTTACTCGGCCCAGCAATGTCACACCAAACTCATCAGGTATATATGTGCTATCAATCTTGCAATTTAACGTTATTAAAGAGACGCATCCCCAAATTACCATGATGTAAACTTTGCGAATGAATCAAATCATCATCATCGTCATCAGAAGAAGTGAAAACAATGACTTTTTCTTCATCTTCTCGTCGTAAAAAGTTTTGAAATAGTTAATAAATTGCGCTTCATACATCTACAACAACATTTAATACAAAATTTGATATATCTATAACAACATACATAATAAAAATAAATTTTATACAACTAATTATACAATATATAACTTATCTACAACTTTCGTACATCCTTCTTACCCAGTTAAATACAACTATAACATCATACAACTTAAATACAATTTTCATACAAATTTTATACAATATGTTTTTTGTATATTATGTATATATTTTGTATCTGATTTGTATATATTTTGGATGTGGTGTGTGCTTCTTCCTCTCTAAAATTCAAATCAAAACTTACTCTCTTAATACAATTTTGATACATATCATCAACTTTATGTAAGAAAGATAGTATTGATAACTTAAATTTAAATTTTATACAACGATACATACATTGTACAACTATTTTTCAACTTTCATAAAACATTCAAATAATAAAAATATATAACTACAATATAATATAATTTACATACAATTATACTATAACTTTACTACAATTTGGTAAGTATATGGTATGTCATGTGTTTTTCTTCTTCTTCTTCGAGTTTCAATATGAAATTCAGCCAAAATAAAGTCTAATCTTCACCAAACACCCTCAAAATTGAGATATAAACTCCAAACAATATTCCCAATTGTTTGCAACAATACTGTCACGACCCAAATCCTAATATGTTATGATGGCGCCTATCGTGGTACTAGGCAAGCTGACATTTTCCAAAATACTTCTAATATTTAACAGAAAATGAATTAAAAAATTTTAAATAACTAGAGTTTCCATAAAAATGGGATAAAAACCCAAAACACAAATGCGAAAAACAGTTCCCAAATCGGGGTTTCACTGAGCTCATAAGCATCTATACATCACCAATCTAGAAAAGAAATGTCTACGAAAGTCTGGATCAAATACAAATAAGAAAAAGACAAGGAAGAAGAAACAAGAACTACGAACACTGGGCAACTACCTCGTAAATCTTCGAAGATCAACCGTGCATGATATCAATGCCCACCGTGTCCGGAAATATCTGGATCTGTACACAAAGTACAGGGTGCAGCGTGAGTACAACCAACTCAGTAAGTAACAATAATAAATAAGGAACTGAAAGATAGAGATGAGCTATACAGTTATAGTTCATTTTCAGT